GAGAAGAAATCTTGGGAGAAATTATTTTAATTAACTGGAACGGAATACTATCCGGTGTTAGAGAGGAGCAATTATGCCACTTAGAAAGATTTAAAAAATATTACGACGATAAACCATACTGAATCCTCCATAACTGGAAACCTATTGTCAAGAAAAAGTGGAGCTGAAACTGGCTTACTATGCGCATAGACATTCGCAACAATATGGCACCAAAAGAACAAAAAACAGCGTTTATTGATAAACTAACAACAACCAAAATGAGTACCTTCACTGAACAAGGAGAAAACAAGGAGGGAGGTTGTGTCGGTAGGAGCCGGAGCCGGAGCTGTAGCCGTAGCGTTGACTATCGAGTGGCGCCTCTTTTCGTAATAGTCCTCAAACCCTCGTAGTGTCTGGAGTGCCTTTCTCCGTGCGCTTCCCGCGCGATACACTCCTCTTTGATCTACGATCAATCCTCTTCCAATCTCCCCACAACTTATCGTTCATTATTATAATTATTTTTTACCACCGATAACAAAAACATAACATCACAACCACTAGCTGGGGTGGCGCAAATGACCGATGCATTTAAGAAAACAAAAAAAGCAATTTGCTTATCATCACTCACTATAATGACGAGGATGGAGGCAGTAAATTTTTAACGAGGGGGAGAGAGAACCTAATTTCTTATTCATTCGTTGCACGCAAGGTGGGAACATATCAATGTTTGAGAAAGATAAGTATCGATAAACTCCATTTTTTTCCTTCTTTGGGCATACATTCAATTGAATGGCTTCACTTCTTTCAAATAGAGCTTTAGCATGAAGGCACCATATCTTTCCATGCATTCCATGTGGATGAAGGAATATTCACATGCTTGAAGTGTGAGACCGTTGCTCTCATAAGAATATAGCGTATAGTTCGACCTGAAAATTGATTTAATTCGTTGCTGTATTATTTGACTCGTACGATAATTCTAATCTGTAGATATGGGCACTTATGGCCTTGGGGGGCATTAAAAACAAGGCAAGCAGAAACGCGAACTGCTACTAAGTCTAGGAGGAGGGAGAAACACCAGGGAGAAAGGAAATTCACATTCCCTCAGAACCCATTCTTTTAGGTTGGCCAGATTGAAATGTCTTTTTCGATCATCAATTATTTTTATTATAAAAACAATAATGAAGCACATCTCCTCACCTGTGTCACAGGTTCATCACCTTTTGTTACGCAGAGCATGGATGCCTACCGCGTAGAACTCTTCCTGGTTCTACTCGAAGAACGTCCTAGCCTAGCTCCTCGATTTCTAGTTGCGTGATTTTCACGACACGTGGTCTTCCGTTATTATGCAATAGTTTTACATTGAGCGAATTCACCCTTGAAGATGCAGCGCTTGGCCCATGCGGTAGAGCTGTTATATGCAGAGCGCTGGAGCTGTTATACGCAGAGTTCAGCTGTAACTGTCTGACCCACAATCAGCTCTCCATAGTAAGCCAGTCTTATACTGTTCCACCACACCGTAGCACGACTTTTTTCCGTGGATGTCCGGTTTCGAAGTCACCCTCAGCTGTCCATCTGCTCCCAGCCGTGGCCATCTTCTCACGTTGTTATTGGGAAACATCCCTTTGTAAAATGCGGTCAACACTAATTCAAGAACCTTTTTCCTCTTAAAGCTAAGAACTTTTAAATTTTTCTGTTGACACAAGTGAACCTCCATGCAAGTTTTTCGAGAACCAATCCGTTGGCTTTCTTTATTTCTCCGTCATCTAGAGCTAGAGGTCAAAATCCACGATCTTCGTCCTCAGGTTACTTCAGTCTTGGAAGAGCTGAAACCATAGCTGAAAGTGCATCAGAGACTAATTGTAACTACGCCGTGGAGTGAATGGCGTTGTACGTATTGTAATGCATTCTACCAAAATTGACGCCTAACCGCTACAGTATGCGCTGCGACTCGTCCTTTGCCGCGTCTGCGTCTCTTCCCTTCGCCGCGCGACGGGCCTCTTGGGATACACCCCTTCCGCGTAGGGGCCCGCCTCGAATGCCAATTCTGATATTGTGTTGTAAGGCGAGCAACATATAATAGGTACTTATCTTACTTATTTATTCATTTATCTACTTATTATTTATTTGTTTATTTACTTATTTATTTATTCATTTACTGCACACTTAAATGTGATATGCGAAGTTCATTTTATTGACCAACTCAACTTAATTGGATATGTCCTTTACCTCCAAATGTAGGTATGCCAGTTAAGAACGTTAGATGCTTTCCATAGCCTATTTTCAGACCCCAATGTTCACTACGGTTAAAGGCAAAAGTCGGGCTCAATAAGGGGGTATTATGGCGATTGAAACTGAGTATAGAGATGCGAAGTGGAACGACAGTGGAGAAAAAACTGAGAAAAACCGTCGACAAGGCCGTTAACAAAACCCTCTTTCCCACTAGCAGTGAAGGAGGCTGGCTTGGGGAAAGAGGCACGTACAAACAAGTTTTCTGGAGATGTCAGTCGTTCTATCGGTTGATACGGCAATCAACCTAGCTGATTTCACACGTTATGCCAGCCACGCACCACTTCCGAGGTGGGCGGTCGTAGCGGGGCCAGGCGGCGATAGCGCTTAGTACGTGCCCTGGAGGCCTTATTACGGCGCCGTTTGAGATTCTGAGCATGGTAACGTCTCTGTGGGTGCGTAGCCATGCACAAAGACGACAAAAGGGATTGGTTTGGTCCACTGAGCCTGACTCGTGCCTTTAAGATAACAGAATGGAAAGACAGCAGAGCATGTTGCCAAGGCTAAAGCGAAGATGATCCTTCGATACATCTGAATCATAAAAAGAAGCATTGGAAGAAGAATCTTATCTTTATTGAGATTTCACTCACAACAACAAATAATCAAAGGAAATGGAGGAATCAGGAAAAGGGGATGTTAAGCAATATGATGGCGCGTATGAGTAAGTAACATAACGACCGACTGTTAGTGCCTCTTGAGGTCGACTCGGCTAGCAATGCGTGAAAGGTTTTCCTTATGGTCACCAAGCAAACAGAAATCCAGGCACATACATAGGTGTTGAATACGATTACAACGGGCACTAAAATGGCGAGCGGCTCCTCAAGCGTAAATATAGCTTACGGTTAGCTTATGGCTGGTAGATTTTGTTTCTTGGCAGGTTCTTATCATCCTGGAATACTGATATAATTGATCGATAAGGAGAAAATTTTCTTTGATTCGCCTTGAGGGTTAGAAGCTCTGTGAAATTCTTCGTCACATAAGTTGCGAGCGAGCTGATTCTACGGGTATATGGGAGACCCGTTTGCGTCGCGAGAAGGCAGAGACGTAGACGGGTTGACGGACAAGTCACAGCGCGCACTTCATTGGATTTCGCTTGTCCTACACTACGTCCCACGTCACATAGCACGAGCTGCGACTCGTATGCAGACCTGTTTGCGTCTCTGCGGAGAATGTTCCAGGAAAGGCGGTTCTTGTAAAAAGTCTCGATTGAGCACACATATGTAGTTGGTGGAGCCACACTAGCAAGCAGGGTCATGTCGAAGAAGTGGTCGCAGCAGCAGTGCGACTCCCCCCCCCTCCGCCTTAGAATCGGGGTCTTGATAAGCCCCCTGTCCTAATTTTGATTCTAATGGAAAGTTTTGGTACTTTTCATCATATCACGCGATATCGCGAAGAGGAGACGGTCAAAGGTCCCCCGCGACCACCGCGCTAAAACTAGGTCACCGGGCGCGACATTGCCGGCGCTTTTGCAGTCTGAATCGCCCAAATTTAGGACCTGCCGCTCTGGACGATCGATACAACGCTTCCTTGTTCTTTCTGTGTAGTCCCCATTTCTGCATTTGTTTTAGCTTAGTCCTAGCGAAATTGCCACGTCCAACCTGCAAGGACCGGTAGCGTGCGGTGACCTACTTTCGCTTGCGCGGCGATCTCAGAAGGACCCTTTTCTCGCATCCATCGCGAAGGAATGCAAGTATCAGGTAGTGAAATCGTGCTACAAATATTTACTTGATTACGCGCGCGGTCGGAGAATCAAATCCTGGATCGTGGGCCGCCCAGGCCAGTCAACCCTTCCATTCTTCCGTATATCGTACAGGAAGAATGTGAGAATGCAATGAACTGCGACCAATGAGATGAAAGTTGAAATAGAGAACGACGACCGATTCACCGGCTGTTGCAGCGCGTTTAGCCCTGGGTCAGACTATCTGTACCGCCGCCCAAAACCTCGTAGAACTACATTACATTCTCTTTAAAATGATACCACTATTCCATTCCATAAGTTTTTGAAAATGTTGTGCTAAACTTAGATAGAGCTAGTTTCTTGTTACCTGCCAGTGTTTGAATTGCTCTAGAAGCCTGTCACTCAGAGATAGTCTTTCGAATTGCGTTGAGTCAGCTCGAGGACACTTTAAAAGGCAATATCTCCCTAATTCCGCAAGAACTTGAAAAAAGGAAGACAGTCCCGATAAGCGGTAGGCTTGCGCTTTCTAACGTGCCTAACTAACTGGTAACTATCGAAAAGAGCATCCGACATAGATGTTCTGGGAACGATCAACCACCAAATTCTGCTTAATAACGTTGCAGTACGCCATGGAATTTCCACATCAGATTCTTTACAGTACAATGAAGAGGAAGAACTAGTCTTCATTCATATCAAGTGAATAAAAGCATGGAATACATAGAAACCATAGAATCAATACATATCAAAATACTCAAACTAAAAACATTTCACTAAACCATAATAACATATAAGTGATACAGGACCCGTACTCATAAATAAGGCGTAAGTAAGGCATAAATGGAGCATGTCAGAAAAGGTGAAGAGATCTAATGGAGATTCAAAAACGATACCAGCAAAGGACACATGGAACAAAAAAGATATGGTAAGTACTTTACGTGAAAGAAATGATCTAGAATTTGACTAGGGACTGTGTATACAATGTGAAATACATGACGAAGAAATACAAAAAATAATACAAATACAAAGTACAATGTGTATATAATTTAGAAGAAAAACATCACAGACTAGTTTTTGCCTGCCCGTATACATTAACAGCTCCATCACCGGTTGTCGCGACCAATGTCCCGAAGATCTTGCTCGCATCGGCGGATGGGACACTTGGCCACGCAGAATGTGGATATTATAAGGGTCCACACACCCTCCAGGGGGGATTGTCACGCCAGAATGCTTTAAGTGGCAGCCAACTGCTGCAGCCTGCCCCGGGTCTTGCTGAGGCCCTTATAACCCCCTTTGCTGATGACAACATTGACCGTATTGACCGTGATAAAGATATTGACGACTAAACGTGTTAATTATTGCTACATGACAGAACGCAAGATTATTACTACTTTTATGACAGATATCTACAGACATATTAAGGCAACTAATATGACATACACGATAACACGGTTAATGAGACAGAGAGAGAGAATGAGATGAAGAGGACTAAGAAAGGAGGATGAGAGAGAATGGCCGGATAGACTATTAACGAGGGGACTAACTGGAATAGGCATACTACCGGTCCGCCGGGCTTGAAGATGACATAAAGGCGGAGAGAAGAGAGCTGATGACTTAAGGCGTAAAGCTCACACGTTGTAGACTTCTCCGCAACCGGCTACTCGGGACGAACCATTCACAGCGACGACATGACGCAACACTGGTGACGTGTCGAGGGCGCGCGGCGAGAGACGACAGACGTTAGCGTATTTTCTCACGCCGTTGGCGCCGGTCCATTTGAATCGTGAGAAAGCGTTCAATCGTAGCACTGGAGCGCGGTTTCCTTCCGGCGCATGCCATAACAGATGTCCAGGTCGTACGTAAGTCACGACACCGGTGGCGATAGCAATCATTGATCTGAACATTTAAAATCATGAAGTAGTTATTAGTAGTTGGGAGCAAATTAGGAGAGGGCGCGAATGAACTTGCTTGTAGTATGGAATCGAGCTTGTACAATAATTTGAGAAGCATACCTAAGTTTGTGCATGGCAACAGCAGCTATATTCTGAGTTGACCTTCGCTTGAAATCGTTCTGACGAATATTACATATAGGTACACCGCAAATGTCATATAACTTGATCTCAGCTTTCAACACACAAGCGAACATCTGAAATAACGCAAACTGAGGACTTGTCCGCAGAGATCAAATTCAGTGAAGGATCTGATGAGCGAACCTCAGCATTCTTGTGCACAATGAAATTCCTAAGCGGCTCGTGTGTTTCGTGGCCCGCGTCTATTTCGACCACTGGCACCTAAATATGTTTCAGTGATATTTATCGCAAGCTGGATGCCTAGGTAACGAAGTTGGTCGAAAACATAAAAAAAATCGGTAAGGAAATAAGACAGATAGACCTATGAATGTGATTCAAGAAAGCAATGCCAAAAAACATCTGCAAGGAAAAGGAAAATAGCATAAAATTCCCAGCTCTTGAATTTGTTGAAGACGGACTGACGGGGAAGGTAAGCTTACTAGGTAAGGCAAAATGGCTATATGCAATAAGACCTACACTATAGGATTAGCTTTTGGACGCCGCTCTTGATCCACCTTCCAAGTCAAGTCTACCAATCATTTTCCTAATGGAGCTGTGAAGCAAAATAAGCAGCGATAATGATCTAGGCTCAAGGGCGAGAGGTTGCGAGATCGATTCCCTGACGAGTTCTCACTTTTGCCTCCACAAAATCTCTAAGCCGTAGTTTATTCGGGTCGACGCTTCGGTATAGTGACCCGCGTTTGCGATTATTCCTAACATCTGAGCGGCACCTGCTAACGACTGCACATGGAATCCACAAAAGTCTTGATAAAGTTTTTTGTAGCAGACAGGTGTGTTTCTGAGATGAAAAGACTTCTAGGAACGAATTTATAGCCAAATAATCTGTCAGAGAACCGACCCTACGACTTCTCGCCCGTCGGCCCAGACCACTACCGCTCATCTATTTTGCTTCGCAGTAATGCTCAGGAAATCATTTAGCAGCTTTAGAAAGCAAATATGATATCAGATTCCAAAACACTTCAGTATACATAGATCTATGTTGCAATTAGCACTCATCTTATTTCCTCATGTAGATGACTTGTACCTTCATGACCTGCTGGGTTTTGACCAGAGATCTAGCGGGCGGGTACGAGTACTACTAAGATTTTCATTGCAGAACAGTACAATGTCTTTTGATAAATATTCTTCCACTGCTCGTCTCCCAAGGACCCAATATTTCATTGCATGAGACTACTTGAATCCATCATCCTTTCCTGGTTGCTTTCATCCGTATTAAATCGGCTGAAGATTCCGAGCAGATACTGATGGTATAAGGAAAGAGCACGACGAGATGAGAGCCAAAGAATAAGAAAAAGAATGTCCAATTGAATTCCCCAGGTAGAACGGTATGGACGTGCAGCAGTTCAAAGTGGTCAAGATATAGAACGTTTTACAATTCACTAGAGAAGCATACGTTGTACACCTGATGCGTACCTTGGGCATTCTAGGATCCCAAACACAGATACCTCCATCTTCATCACCTGCCGCAACAATTGCAGTGCCTTTCGAATCGACACGAATCGCAACACCCACAACGCAGGAAGACAAATTGTGGAAGGACATTATCAGGCCAAAACGCCAAAAGGGCTGGTAATCCCACACACCTCACACCCCTATAACCGCTTAGCACGTCCACTGCCTTTAAGCCCGACCTCTGAAAATAAAATCGTTATCATAGAGGTGATGCATTTGTTATTGACTCAAGCGTCAATAACAAACAGGGTACCGTGGGTGCTTCTCTATTTGTTAGTTACAGTGGAAAAGCGAGGGTCTGATGGCGACGGAGAACACCAGTGGAAGTATTATTCAGCTCTCTGTGGGAAAAGTCATTGAAAAGTACACTGTCCTGAAGAAGCTTGGTGAAGGTAGTTTTGGAGCTGTATATAAGGTGAGTACTATACTTTCCTACTCTGGAAACAATTGCTAGCCAGCTCTGATTTGATTAGGTGGAAGGACCAAGTGGGAAGCAGTACGCCCTCAAAGCTGAATCTGTCAATGAGAAAGTACCGGTGGGTCTTAACGCTTCGTCAAAGCTTTGTCTGGACTCTTCTGCTGCGCGTTCAAATCGCATACTATTTGAGTGTTCAGAGTTAACGATCGCGATTAGGCGATTAGGCCATTAGGCGAATAGGCGATTAAACGTGGAAGGCTACATACGTATTGATTGCTTTGCCGCGCCCATAGAGTGTTGTAGGCGATTAGGCGACTGCTCAGTGGGCGGGGCAGCGAATCAATATGTAGCCTTCTCGGGTGTATATCAGGTCTCCCGATTGTGTCAGGTCGGCTCGCCGCGCGCGGCGACCGTTGGTCAATGGCCGCGGCAAATAGCGATGTGGCAGTCGAGCAGCCCGCCTGCAACGGCCAGCTGGCATTTTGCCAAAACTTTAGGATAAAATCGTTATGACGCGATAATGAATGCTGGGTAATTGTGTTATAGTGGTTTTCTTAGTTTTTGCAGAAATTGATCCTATGTACGTGATTGCAAATTATTGAGCATGCCGAACTCGCCGCGCCCATAGCTAATCGTCCGCGCGCGAAGGGTCGTGGCCGCCGCGCTGCGGCGCCGACCTGACATTGTCGGGAGACTTGGTCGTCTTCCAGTCTTCTCTCATCGTCTACTCGCCTACTCACCCAATGGACTACTCGCCTACTCGACTACCCGCCTAATCGCCCAATTGATACCACTTTTCTTTTCAAATCGTCGCCTAATCGCACGCACAATCGCTAACTATGAGCGCTCCATATGGCGGATGCCTGAGGCAGCGTTCAGAGTTGGCGATTCTACCCGCGATTAGGTGCTTGGCGACCAGGCAATGATTCAAGAAGAACGTGTATATCGATTAAGCCATTAGGCGAGTACGCGATTACGGGAATCCCCCCAGGCGGGTAGGCCTGTAGGCGATAAGAGAAGGATACGTATTGATTTGTTACTCCCATTCGCATGATCGGCCAATCGCCCAATCGCACGTGCGATCGTCAGCTCTGGGTGTTGGCCCATGTTACGTTCATACTTCATGACTTGAGAGTATAGAAGATTAGGCCATTAGTGGAGATGAAAACCAGGTCAGCGGCGCAAAGCGGGCGGAATTGGTCTTCAGTTCTTGCCGTTCATTTTTGCATTGAACGAACCAGCGACAAATACACAAGCCATTTAGACGTGTCGACTCCGATAGTCGACGTTGTGCTCGCAAATTCATCCTCTGGTAACATATTACCACGTAAACAAATTGAAATTACCTCCCGCTAAAAGTAAAATACTCTTTTAAAATAGAAAGAACGAGGGTAACACTATCAGTATCTACATACATAGCACGCTTCTTCATTATTCAGCCACCTGAAAGGGTGAAGGTTGGAAAGGTGATTAAGGGATCTCCTCGAATGCAGCGGGCAGCACGGATAGGAGAAGTTTCACCGAATCGTTACTGTCGCGCCTTTGACTACAAAAACGCCGGGTCTCGGCCCATGAAATAGGGGCAGTGTATATATCCTCCTATGGCAGGGGCATTTTCCCCGTCACTGAATCCCTTAATCACACCATCTGCCTTTGAAATGGATTGTCTTGTCCATGGTAATCTCTGAAGCATTCCTGGAGAATGAGGGAGTGCACGGCGTTGATTTGCAACCCACAGATGTCACGAAGATCAGATATAAACGCCTCCTCGCTAGCTGAGTATTTCAAGAGCCTTTCATATAGAGCAGTTACTAATACTTCCCTCTAAGAGCAGTTTGTACAACAAGCTGAATATTTAAGAAATGGAAAATAATATGTTCATTTTATCCCACAGGACGGGAAGTAAAGCTTCACCAGCGGGTCGACGGCTGGTAATGCCCTAGTGAGCTCAATCTGTGGCAAAGCAGCCTTTCTGGCAACTCCTCACTCCGACATGCTACTCCAGCCACCGGTCCCCACCTCCCTCCCTCCCTCGGCAGGCATAACCCAGTGTTCAAAATGATGACGGCAGGTGTCATCTCGTGAATCTCATCTAACGCGAAAACCAAGACGAAGGCGAACCATAGCCCTAGTTTTAGGACGTTTTCTTGGTATCCAACAAAAAACTTTGCAGCTTCTTCGGCTTGAGCTCCTCGTCATGCAACGTCTCCAGGCTAGAAATGCTACACATATGCCGGATCTCATCGACAAAGGGAACTTTGAGAACTTTAACTATATTGTGATGAAATTGCTTGGGAAGTCTCTTCAGGTAAAGTCGTCCTCATATATTGCATTGCATTTGCACGATCGCTCAGCGTATGCCAAAAGACAGTGGCCATTTCTGGGCGATTTCTGGGAACATAATGGAGCTCAAGTGTCATAGTGATCTTAACTATCATGGTTATCACATGGACCCAATCTTTCAGGAAGCAAAGAAAACCGGTCCCGATCGCCACTTATCACTTGGACCAGCCATTGGGGTTGCGATTCAATGTCTTGAAGCCATTGAAGAGTTACATTGGGCCGGATTTTTACACAGGTGGGTAACCACATAACAACTGTTATAACAAAACATCATCTCGCTATTGAAGGGATGTGAAGCCAGGAAACTTTGTAGTTGGTCGGGCAGAAGACGGAGATCTACGAAAGCTGTATATACTCGATTTTGGAATGTGTCGCAAATTCGTAGATAACAACGTGAGCCGCTAGTACTTGAACTACAATATATCAAGACCTTAGCAAGTTCGGACAGAGAGCAGCGAAGAGAGGTACCTCTCACGTGTTTCGCGAATCGCAAACTCAAGAGCACACTGTTAACGATAGGAAATAGGTTAAGGGGTTTGGATATTGGACCGTAGATGCTGACTTAGGTGCCAGTGAAGAAAGAAGGAAATGAACCTACTAAAATGCACTAAATGAGGAAACGGCTGCTTAATGGCAAGCCCCGGAATTCCTCAGTATTAGGA